GTAATGTTTGTTTTCAAAATAAACTGTATAATAAAAACATAAATTGTATTTAAACAATAAAATAAAGGGTGATTGGATTTGTGGTCAAAATAGAACCACAGCTCTTCAGCTTCTGTGGAGAGAGAAAAGTATTAAATCTGTGATATGGTCTTTATTAATGTGATGGATACTTCCCCAACCCCATTAGTTGTGGACTTAGAGAACTGTAAAGTTCAAATGCAAACATACTTCTTAAAAGGAGAAGAAAGACTTTGGGAATTCTGATTTTATTTTAATCTTTGTCCTTGGCTTCATGTATGTGCTTTGTACCACTTGCTAGAAAAAAGTAAAAGAAAACAAATGAAAAGAATATTTTGCCATTCTCAAACCTAGACATCTCAAATATTGGTAATAAGTGGGCATGGCTAAATTCTAGTGAAAACATTTGTAAAGGCAGGCTACCTAGCATTTTGCCCAGTTTTTCTAAACCCTCTACTAGCAACATTATGTAGATCTTATGAATGAACAAGTAGAATTATTTTCATGAATTTAGGAGAATTCTTTAGATGTCTACTCTCAGTATTATAATTCAAACTGTTATAGATTTCCTAGACAAGGTCTCCCCTGGTGGCACAGGCAGTTGAGCAAGCACTGTGAAGCTGTCCTCAGCCTCTGCAATGCAGGTTCCATCCCAGCCAACCGGCGAGAATCCCATATGGTGCAGCTGACCTCTCCTGCTGCCCGCTGCTCCCCTCAGCAGTGTATTTCAGTCAGTCTGCCTGTTCTGTTCCCCACTCTGTCTCTGGTGAATCCTCTCACCATCCCGCACATCTGTACCCTGGTTCTTGTATGCATGAATAAATCTTTGAAAAATAAAAAAAGATTTCTTTTTTTTTTTAAATAGAGGCATGTTTTATTTATTTATTTGTTTGTTTGTTTTGTTTGTACATGCACTGGGTACAGTCAGAAGCGCGGGAGGGTGAGAGAATTCACCAGAGCCAGAGCGGGGAGCAGAGCAGGCAGAAGGACCGAAGTACACTGCTGAGGGGAGCAGCGGGCGGCAGGAGAGGTCTGTGCGCCATGTGGGACCCTCCTCCAGTGGTAGGGGAGCAGCCGGGGATCGAACCGGCGCCGCAGAGGCTGCAGGCAGCTTCGCAACCCAACGCTCAACCGCTGCGCCACCGGGGAGGCCCTAAAAAAAGATTTCTTAGACAGTGCAAGACAAGAAACAAAATGAAGCATTATAAATAGGAAAGGAGGAGCAAAAATTTCCATTGCTTCTGGATGTTTTGATTGACTAACAGAGAATCAATTGCAAAAGTATTAAAAGAAATGAAATTATAATGATAGACTAGCAGCATAAAAAATTCAATCAGTTTTCTACATGTGATTAGAAAATGCAATGAAAATAAATTCCACCACTAGAATTCATGCCAAGATCCAAAATATATCTTGAAATAAAATTAAACTGAGTAAGAAATTATTGTTTCTCTGTGGAAAGATTAAAGATCACAGTCACCACATATTTCAATATATTTAATTCATTTTCAAACTACCAATATTTTTGTTTTTTGTGGAATTTGTCACAGTTCCTAAAATCATATTTGTTTTTCCTTACAGTTTGCATTAATGTTTAAATAGATTATATTTCTTACTTATGCTTTTAATTACCACTTTCATTTTTTAATCATACTTTTCATGCTTTTCAATATTTCATATTTATCAATATAATTTTTGGAGTTCTATTTATATCTGATACTGGCATTTGCATTTTGTATTTTTAAAATTCTTACTTTTGTTAACTTTTTTTTTTGTATGTGTATATATTTAATTTTTATATATCTATGATCTTTATTGGAACTGTGTTCCAGAGAAGATTTGACTTTAATTCTGCCATTTGGTCCACTTTAAATTTTGTGTGATGTAAACTCAGGTCTTTTGTCCACCTAATGTCTGGCCCATTATACAGTGTAAGGAGAACTTTTGATTTATTGTATCCAGAGCAAAGGCAGACACATGTGTATTTTCTGCCCTCATGTTTTGTTTGTTTGTTTGTTTGTTTGTTTGTCTTCTCCTTTTATGAACTTTAATCCTGTACTGGAGACTCTGATTCTATCTCTCCATGTATGGGTATAAGTCTTTGTAAGTTCCTACATGTTGATGGGCATTCATCATAAGAGTGGTCACTAGGCTGAAAGTTATAGGACCTATTATGAGGAAGTGTCCTGTTCACCAAAATTTATTTACAAATACTCAAATTTTGGCTATGATCTTGACCCCAGAAGATAACCATTATTTCAATACCATCTCTGTTTAATGTGTACACTTATGTATATATTACTTACTTGCTTTTTTGATGATTTGTTACAGTAGATTTTCAGGATATTTTGATCTGCATCATTGAGTGTTATAGATCTGGTAAAACTAAGAAAGTTAAAAATGTTTCCCATGCTCTTCTTGAAATTAAATAATAGATACTTAGATTTTGTGTACATTTTTATTTACAAAGTAATGTCTATCATGATAACCTTTATAAAACCACCCTGTATCATATTCCTTTATAGGATTGATAATTGCTTGTTGTCTTCTAATATACATTTTATAATTTATTTATTTTCTCTATACTTCATCTCTGCCATAGCCCCAGTACCCAAAGTGTGGCTTAACACATTTTTATGGGACTGGACTCTGCCTAATGAGAGACAAAATGATGAGCATTTTTGAAGGCATCAACTTTATTCCCATGTTTCATATTCTCTTCATTTACTTTCATTCTCTTCATTAAACTTTCTTACTTACAAAATTATTGTTGGTAATTTATTGTAGACAACTCCCCTACCCCCGCCCCCAGTTCTCTATCAGGCTCTTCTTATCTTCACTTTGCTAGAACGAAGGGATCTTCTTTTTTTGTGGAATGAGTTCCATCCATCTTCAAAAGTATTCTTGTCTCTTATCTTCCAGGAATGGGAAAACTAACTGTGTAACTGAAACATGTACATAAAATTATTCTCATCAAATTATGATCACTCATTTAGAGAAAAATAGTGACATAAAATAATAACTTCAAGATGATAAATCCTAAACTTCATTTTACCACAGCTTTGCATTTCTATTCCTAGGCTATAAGTTAAATATTTCATAAAGGAACAATATGTCAGTTTCAGAGGCAATAGGATACTATACATTCCAAAAGAGCCATTACAAGTTCTCAAACTCACCTCCAAATTAATTTATGTGGTAGAGCTAGGAAATGGGCTGTGTTGGCCAGAATGACCTGTCTTGTATTTCCATTTATGCCTCATTTCCCAAAACTGGGAGGAAAAAAAGACTTTAGGTTGATTGTAACTACGGTGTCAAACATGAAAAAATCTGACCTAGATTGGAGAGAAGAGGAGAGGAAAGCCAGTCTGATAAAGAGAACCAGACTAGTCCAGATCATTATAAATTTCCCCTTATGCTTTTTGATTATGATAATAAATATGAAAGATGAAAGATTTTGTTTTGAAATCTGGCTGTGAGGCTTTAGATTTGAATTTGTATTCATACTAAGCTATAAAAAATGCTTTTATATTTATATTAAAATGCTCCCTCCATTTAGGCGCCTGTAAGAGACAGTCAACCCTCTTAATCACTGGGGTTTTACAACAAATTTGTTCAATAGCATAAGTAAGTCAAGTGGGAATAATAAGAAATAAAACAGGATATCCTAGTAACTTTTACTTCCTCTTTGTTTCAAGAATTTTAATGCCACATATTTGCATTATGTAATAGCATTCTTGTTTCCCTAAGCCCTTTATTCAGAGATTGGCAAACTTTTTCTTTTTTCAAAGATTTATTTATGCATACAAGAGCTGGGGTACTGGCCAGAGATGCAGGGGGTGAGAGGATTCACCAGAGACAGAGCGGGGAACAGAAAAGGCAGACTGACTGAAATACACTGCTGAAGGGAGCAGCGGGCGAGTCAGGAGAGGTCTGTTGCTCCCTGTGGGTTTCTCTCTGGCCAGCCCGGGGATTGAACTCATGCTATAGAGGCTGCGGATTGCTTCATAGTGCAGTACTTAACCCCTTGCGCCACCAGGGAGGCCCAGGCAAACTTTTTCTATAAATGGCCAGAGAGTAAATATTTTAAGTTTTGTGTGTTGTGTGGATTCATATGTTTCAACACTTCAACTCTCCTATAGTGCTTATACAGCCGTAAGCAAAACATGAACCAGTAGACATTGGTTGACTTCCTATAAAACTTTCTTTACAGAAAGATATTGGACCAGATTTGGTCAATGGGTTGTAGTTTCCTGTCTCCTCCCTCAAAAACAACACTTGTTTTCTGACTGTAGAGTTTGAAAAGCTTGTGAAAGGAGATACAGTAAATTTTCTTATTTCAGACAAATGACACTAATAAGGAATATCAGAAAGGGCACTAGGTTTGGGTCAGGGGCTGAAAAGAAAGCAGTGGTTCCACCAAACACAAAAGAAAATATTCAGAAAGGCAAAATATAGTAACAGAATCACATAGAATTTGTTGTATGGAGTAAAATAGTTAAATATCTAGGAGTAAAATAGTTAAATATCTGTGACACATGTGTCACGGATATGACAATGACTAGCAATTAAAGAAGGAGATTTAAGGGGTTTCCAAAGTGAGATTATACAGAAGGAAAGTTCTTAGTACTTAAGAAAAAGAATTACATTAGCCAGGTAACCCACATGTGAAACAGGGGCCAGTAAATAAATAAGACTGGATGAATATTTATTTAGAACGTCTATTTGGAGGAAGCGGAATGGTAGAGATACAATGTCTATTATTTGTGAAGCTCCTTGGCGAAAGGGGAGGAAACTATTTTAAAGTTCTGCCTTATCTTGTTCAGGATGAACTCGGTATTGGTTCACCTCTCCACTATGTATCCTCATGGTGCATTCACCCCACTCCGCATTCTATCCTGACTATATGCTAGCCCAAATGGGCTAATCTATAGCCCATACAAATGTCTGACATTTATCTTGCGCTTCTGTTTTCTCTCCAGCATCTATTTGATGGATACATTGGTCTTCTGATCTAATGGCTGCTGATCATTTGGATGAGGTAAGCTAGAAAAAGTGAATAATGAAAGTATTTGAATGAATTATATTAACTACTTAGCTGAAGAGGTTCTTGCAGCAGATAGATGCTTGACATCCTTTTTTATTAATGGGTATTGTCTTGGCAATGTTGTAATTTGATTTCATAATGAAACTGACACATAGTCTAAGAAGTATATTTTGAACACAAAGATGGAAAATTTGATGTTCCTATTGTTAATTACAATTGTTTCATGCTTCCTAAAAGCTTAGATTCCATGTGAAGAATACAATTGCCCACAAGAGTTTTCCAAAGGAACTTCTAAAGTACACTTGTCCGTCAGAGGTCAATTTCATTTTGCCTGTTTTGCATTCAGTTTATTTCCCAGCAGTTTTATTTCTATGGTTTTACAATGAAAGCTTATCCAGTAGAGTGCAGGAAGAAGATTGTAGAATTCATGTCAAAATATATTGTTTATATGAAAATATGGGAGAAATTGAGTTTACAAATTGGAAATATTTTTATATTTACATTCATCTTCCAATATTCATAACTTATATACCTAAATGTAAATGCATATAATAACTTGTTTAGCTATATTTGATACTTGACTTGTACATTGACATTGGAGCCCTCACTCATTATCTTTGGTAGGTGTTCCTTTGTTATACAGAATGCCCATGATATCTTGAAGGAATAGCAGGACTCCACAATGTATAATGGATAAGTTATTGCAAATTGAGTAAAAATCTCAACAATTTTATTTTTTTAAAGATTTATTTATTTATGCATACAAGAACTGGGGTACAGGCCAGAGGTGTGGGGGTTGAGAGGATTCACCAGAGACAGAGTGGGGAACAGAACAGGCAGATTGACTGAAATACACTGCTGAGGGCAGCAGTGGGCAAGTCAGGAGAGATCTGCTGTGCTATGTGGGTCACCTCCCTGGCCAGGGATCCAACTCATGTTGCAGTGGCTGCGGATAGCTTCATATCTGCATCTTAAACCCTTGCGCCACCAGGGAGGCCCTAAATCTCAACAATTTTAAATAGTCATGTAAATTCTTTCAATTTAAAAATCCTTATGAGTTCCCAAATACATGGATAATAGCATTTGTTCTATGTCTCTAAGGAAGAAATATCAGAGAATAAATAAGAACATATCAGAAAAGAAAGATTCTCAGTTAATTGTTTCTTTGATAAATATGATGCTTTGTAGAACACTTTTGTATATGATTATGGTAGAGCAGCTGACTTGACTAGAATTAAAAATAAGCCAAAATTCCAAGGTACTCCAGATGGATTTTATGCTTCCATTTGTTTCTTTTCTATTCCACTTTGCCCTTCACTCCTCCCAGAATAAGCTAACTTCTTAAAGCTCACTCATAATCATGCCTCCTCATATCATGCACTGGTCACCCAGAATATATATCAACTTAAGAAGAACATCATACTCACCACCTTGTGACCCAATTTATATTTACTAGCCACATTATAGCCTCTTATCACATTAGGCTACAGAAGTATTTCTAAATAACTTATCTAGAAATTTATGATATACATTCCTTTTGTATATCTCAAATATTCTGCAGTTTCCAAGTTAATCTCAAATGGTATCATCTTCATAAATTCTTTCCAGTTCTCCCAAATTAGATTTTACATGTTCTTCTTTCATATTTTTGTTCTGTGCAATTGTCTTAATTTTTCTTTTGAAAGAAGCAATTTTGTCTTATTTGACTTTGCTCCATGATAGGACTCTGTTGAACTCAATCTGTTCCTCTTCCTCCAAACCCAGCTGGAGTTTCATTTCTTACCATCCATCCCTCAATATTTGATGTGATCCTTATCACTACAGTCCCTTAACATTAAAAGAAAACATTTTTTTAAAGCTTACAGTCATGTTTAATTTAGATTATGCCCTCTATGAAGAACTCTATTACTCTTGATTCAAACCTGATAACTACTAAAACACAGAGCTTATTAAGTGTATGATGCTCAGCAGATGTTCACCAAACACACAAAGTTAACATGTAACTTAAGCTATCATTTTGTTTCATAATTCATTTGGACCAAATATGTTATTTTTGTCATATTGTACTTTTCAAAGATGAGATATTAATATGTCCTATTTTACATGGGGGTCATATGACACCCATCAAGAGATGTGCTCTCTATCTCCTTTTCTTGAATTTGGGTGGGCTAGTGACTTGCTTGTAGACAAAATAGTGCTGTGAAAATGATACTGAGTAACTTCAATCTTGTTCAGAAAAGGCCATACAACTTAAATGATTTGCTTGTTGGCACACTTACACTTGGAGCCCTGAGCCACGGCTTCAGAAACTTGACTATCCTGAGACCGCTACGCTCTAATGAAACCAAAGCACATGCAGAAGCCACATGTGTGCTTAGTTTTTGCTTATTCTCACTCTGGGTTATAGTTATATGAGTGAATGAAAATTCAGTTTTAATTCTCATGATGCTGAGTGAACACAAGCTTCTAATAAGTCCCACTTCAGACTCTAGATGTGGAACAGAGACAAATCATTTCTGCTCTGCTCTTTCTAATTTACTGAACCAGTGAAACTGAGACTAGTCAAAGTGTTATTGTTAACTTTGGAGTACTTTGTCATATAGCAGTATTACATAGGGTAACTTCTTAATTTGGGGGAGAATTTTTTTTTAAGATTGATTTATTTATGCATATAAGAACTGGGGTACAGGCCAGAGGTGTGGGGGGGTGAGAGGATTCACCAGAGACAGAGTGGGGAGTAGAGCAGGCGGATCTACTGAAATACACTGCTGAGGGGAGCAGCGGGCAAGTCAGGAGAAGTCTGCTGCACCATGTGGGTCACCTCCCTGGCCGGGGATCGAACTCGTGCTGCAGTGGCTGCAGATTGCTTCATAGGTTGGTCTTAAACCGTTGTGCCACCAGGGAGGCCGCAGGGTGAAAATATCTTTTATGTGAACAAATGTGTTACAAAATATATTCTACAGTTTTGTTTCCAGACATCTCCTAAATAATCATATATGGTTTCACAACTTTCCATATCCCAATAGCTTTGGGAGATCTTATTATCATCTTTGCTTTTTAAAACAATTTCCTAATTTTCTGTTCATCATTTCTCATTTATCTCTTGTAGTTTCCTAAAGCAATACTTTGTAAGGAAAAACAAAATGGGGACATAGAAGAAATTTTGCAATCATAACCAAAGAATCTTTTGTATCCTAAGATGTGCTTGCGAGTTGTTCAGTCACCTTAATTATGTAGACACATTTTCCTGGATTTCAAATATATAAAGTTCCCTTTAAATTTAGCAAACTTGACTTCTGTTCATTGACACAGAGGTGTAAATAGAATTCAGCATATTTTCCCAGAAATTCTTAACTCACTTTTGCATACTCAAATCAAAATATTTCCATACAGAGATAGAATGACCACAAATTTTTCTTGAAAAGTGTTATTATCTTCAATGCTCTTGTTGGTCCCTTCTTGTCAAAAACCTCATGTGGGCACTGTATCATGGAATGTTTTTTTCCATTCAAGTTCATGGAATTTAGGTTGAAGAAGGCTGCCCTTATTTTGGTATCTAGTATGATTAAGTCATTACTAAATATGGCTGTACTCCGAGTATGATTTTTTTTAAAGATTTATTTTTATTTATTGATGCATGCAAGAACCGGGGTACAGGCCAGATGTGCGGGAGGGTAAGGGGATTCACCAGATACAGAGTGGGGAACAGAACAGGCCGACTAACTGAAATACACTGCTGAGGGGAGCAGTGGGAGAGACAGGAGAGGTCTGCCATGCCATGTGGGTATCTTGCTGGCCAGCTGGGATCAAACCCGCACTGCAGAGGCTGTGGACAGCTTCACAGCACTGTGCTCAACTGCCTCTACCACCAGGGGAGTCTCCCGAGTATGATTATTTCACTCCAGACCAAAACTGACAAATACACTTGAAAATATACTGAGACCTAGATAAACCACTTTTTCCTGGGAGAGCGGGGTGCTGTGCCCATACTTCTCAGAGGCTCCATTATGACTGTTACAGGCTGTCTCTCTCTGATTAATATAATTTACAAAATTTCTCATATTCATGCCTTTCAGATTTTATAAAAGGAATAATTTGATCTCTGAATCTCCCTGTCTTTTTAATATCAGTCTCTACATTAACCTTACCTTAAATTTGATTTTTTATGTGGCTGAAACAAACACACAGTCATGGTCATATCAGGGAGGAAGGGACTTAATGTTGCTGTTATTTTGGGGGGTACACTTTGACTTGATTTATTGTCAAGGAAATGTGTTGTACTATTACATACAAGACCAATTTTTATATAGGTGTTTATTTAAATTTACCAAAAATCTATTCAAGTCTCAAAGAGAATATGCTTTTCCTCTATTTTACTAAAGGGTCATTTTACTAGCATGCATTTTTGTGGAATATAATTGCTGTAAATTAAATTTCCTTAAACTTACCTCACCCCAAAAAATAAAAGTAACCAAACCTATAGGAGCTTCTTATCTGTTTAATCTGTTCTGGGAAATAAAATTCTATCTCTAAATAATGGCTTAATTCCTCTGTTTAAATGCCAATGCTCCATGCAGACTATGCCCAAGATAGCCATTTGTACAGCATCATCACATTTTCCTCATTAAGCCTTGTATGACACCAGTGTTTTTAACACAATGATCCAGAGATTTCTACAAAATGATTGGAATCACTAATGGGTATTTCATAGAGATAACTATGTATTTAGTTGAGAACAACTGAAATCAATGTTTAGAATACAAGTAGGTTTTTAAAATGATTAGCTTGAAATATATCTGTAAATTTGTAAACTAGATAATTACACACTTAAACTCATGTATATTAAATCATAAATAAAAATCATATAGCTATCAATTTTTAGATGTTATATAGTATATAGATGAAGCTTTTTTTCAATGGAGAAACCAGGGTCATAGTTGTGATCTAATGTCAGTTGAAATTTCATTTCCAATCGCTTTTGGTGTAGA